CAACCTAATCAAATGCCAAAAAATGTGTTGAATAGCTGTACCTGCTAAAATATATAGCTAGGTCATTCCTTTAAAAATAGAACTCTTTTAATAAGGTTTTGCCCAGATCTTAAAATCCAAAGATGTGGTTTTATTTATCTATTTATTTTTCAATTACAGTTGGCCTTCAGTATCATGCTAGTTTCAGGTATACAGCATAGTGGTTAGACAGTTAAATAAAAAGGTGTGGTTTTAACTACTTATAACCATTAGCTACCTTTATATAACAAGAAGGTGTGGTTTTCAGTGCTTATAACATTATATATATATATATATATATATACATATATATATATATATATCTGTGTGTGTGTTTTTCAAGCAATACATTCTAGGTGCCCTTTAATGGTGAAATAAGCTTGAATTTCTAGAGAAATCAGGTAGGCTGAAAGAACCTGAAATAAGGTTTTGAACACAAACTACAGAGTAGTCCTAGAGTTTGGCGACCACATGCTAGCGACACAGATACTGCTCAGTTATACAGGAGAATCTACACATTGGGGTTTTCACAGCAAGGATGAAATGGAAACTAATGTATCCTTAATGTGCAAAGGAAATTTCATTTTCAAGCACTCATGAGCATAATCAATTGTTAATGAAAAGGAAAAAGAATATAAAAGGTGCACGCAGAACACCTTGCAGTGGTATTTTCCACGTGAGGTGTACCATAGCAGACTCATGCTACAAGGGAGCAGCAGTACCATGAGGTGGTTAGCGCCTTGGGATCTGAACAAGGCTAAACAGATTTACATTCTAACTCTGCCACATACCAGCCAGGTAACCCACCCTTTCTGTCCCTTCACTTCCTCAGTTATAAAATGAAAATAAAACTAGGACCAACTCACAGGGGCATTGTGTAAATTAAGTGAGGTAATATAGATACAGCATTCACAATGGTGCCTGGAACATAGTAAACACTCAATAAATATTTAATTTTCCTCTTCTTTTCCTCCTCCTCCTCCATCTTACCCCTTCCTCTCCTTCTTCCTCCTTCTCTTCCTCTTCTGTTTTTCATATAAATAAGGGACAGGTATAATAATTGATTTGACTTATGTATTACTCTAAACTTAATACTATAAATATGCATCAGTAAGATTTCATTTGGAGATATGGTGTTATATTTAGATGGGCTCTTCTGAGTTTTCTCATTTAGCCATTTACGATAGTCCATTAATACTGTATCTCACTAAGCGACCGGTACTCATTAGATATCACTCTCTTTGTTAACACTTTTTTTCATGTTCTTTTCTCCAAATTATCTGCGGAGCTTAGAATGTCCTCTCAACCCTGAAGGATAGTACAACTTTTCAAACAACTAGTATGGAACTTCCAGAGGCTCTCCCTAGACCCGATCTAAAGGTAGCAGGAAACTCAGTGAACAATGGAAAATTCATCAGGAGAGATTTAGCTGATGGCAACTCAGTTCAGGTCCTGTCAATAAGAAACCCTGTTGTGTGTTTTTGGTGTCCAGCTGCTCAGAGGTATTTTATGCTTTGATATCAAAGATGAAAGAAAATCTCCTGGAAAGTGAATGTCTAATCATGTCAGCTTTGGACTCCACCAAGAAAATCAACTACTTTAACCCATGGAAATGTCCCAGAAAGATTCAGAACCAAGGTAATGCAACATCTGAAGACAGTCACTGGTTTTTAATTACATATTGATGGCTTTCAAAAATGTCCCCTTTTCCAGAAGAGTACAGACCTCTACATTAAAATATTTTTTGCCTTTATTTTGATTGTTGACACTATTACAGATGTCTTCATCCTCATGCCCTTTTCCAACCTCCATCCAGCGGCGACCCTCCCTCCCCTCTGGCTAACACCACACTGTGGTCTGTGTCTATGGGCTGTGCCTAAATTGGTTCTTTGGCTAAATCAGAACATTAAATCAAGAAATAAAAGGTTCTAAACTTCTTTGCAACAATATATAGCAATTTACAAAAATTTATTAGCTCACATTTTGAAAAATTCCCAGTACACATGAGAAAACATTTAAATTAGGCGTCCTTTTTATTGTTAGCTCAATTTTGCAAAATGTTAAGCTGGCAGTTGACAGAGAAGATGGTTCTGAACTCTTCATCAACATGTTTAATTCACTAATGAAGTTCCATTTAAATTGCCAATTCTTTCTGCATCTCCATATTCCATAAAATAAAAAGCAATGATAGCATGCTATCCTGATGAAGTAATGTGTAATTTTCCTTAAACTCTCTTTTGAAGGAACATTTCTCGTAATACTGATCAGGCTAGTCCTAACTATATTTTTAGGAAAAGTACTTTATAAACAACCCTAGAAATGAATAGAGTTCCAGTGTACAGACATATTTGAAGTCTTAGGGTGATATTTTAAAATCCTGATGAATATCTGCTGCATATCAATGATCTAAGTATGATCTGGAAATCCAAGTCAACTTTTCTGGCATAACAAAAAAGAAAAAGGTCCTCCATTTAAACCTTGGAATTTATTTAACTTGCTTTCTCAGCATCATAAGGTAGTTGTAAGGCACTGAATTAGGAAGATCTCCAGTTTTATGAATCCCTCCTGCTTTAAACAAAACTACGGATTTTCCTTGGAATAACTGTTAATATTCCGGAAACCTATTTCCCAATGCGCTCTCAATAAAAACATTAAGTCTATAAGATGCTACTTATAAAAAGATTTTACGACCAAAGGAGAAATGCTAGCTACTCCATCTTTATTACCATCTTGCAGTTTCCTTAGAACACATGTTATCTGAAAGCAAGGGATTCATCTAAGCTTTGTTCCCCGCCGGGGCCCGGAGCCTGCAACAATGCCTTGCCGTTAGCAGGCGTTCCGAAGGAATACATGAATGAGTGAGCAAATAAACAATTAAAAGCTCTGAAAGCTTCTCCAGCCAAGAAAACTTTCATTTTTCTCTCACCCAGACTAACTCACACCTATTTCATCACAGTAATCTTTTGCTTATTCTGGTAGCACTATAGAATATTTTATTACAAACAAAAGAAAAGAGAGCATAGAGAATAATATAACAAACATGCATGTCACCCCCCCCCCTATTAAGAATTAAATGTTACAAATACAACAGAAGCCTCTTGGGAACCCTCCTCCACATCATTTATCTCATCCTACACTTCTTCCTCAAATGAGGAAACCCCAGCATCGGGACTTATACTCACATGGGACTTACTAACATCCCACTTTGAAAAATGCTGAACTGGAAGAAGGCTAAAATCCCTTTAAATACTAAGATTTTAATTTATTTTTAGATAGCATATATTTTGCAAGTGGTCATCTGTAAAGCTATCCATTTACTGCATTAATACAATAAGGAGCCCGGCTGGTGCTGCTCAGTGGTCAAGCATTGGCCCATGCACCAAGAAGTTGCCGGTTCGATTCCCCATCAGGGCACATGCCCAGGTTGTGGGCCAAATCCCTAGTGGGGGACGTGCAGGAGGTGGCCAATCAATGTTCTCTCATCAATGTTTCTATCTCTCTCTCTAAAAAAATACAATGATGAATAAAAAATAAATGAAATAACACTATGATACAGAAGAAAGACAATGGACAACTGATAGAATAATGATAAATATAAAGAGGCTAAGCAGTGTCTTTTGCAAATAAACTGATATGAAATCTAAAGTCTGTCTATCATCCATCCATCTATCTATCTATCAATCATCTATCTATCTATCTTTCATCATCATCATCATCATCATCATCATCATCATCATCTATCTAATTAGGTCACTAAGAAAACTTAGAGATATTTATTACTTAACCTAGACTGAGTAATTTAGGAACCATCTGTACAGTTATAGAGAAAAATATCCTAACAATTTTGACATACTCACAAAATCACCTGGGGCTGCAGAACTAAAGCTGCGTCTAGATCAATGTCGCAGCATGCCACACTTACATAATAGATGCTGCTAAGAAGGGGAGGAGACCCTCTTCCTGAGCTGAATAAACATTTACCAATTAAAAAAACAACTCTTTTATCAAGATCCAGCATACTATGATAGAGCAACACAATGGGCTAACATAGTTTAATAGGGAAAGAACTATTTTAAAAATTTTAGTCAATATTTTTCACAGCCTGTTTTGGTAAAACCTTTTTTTCTCAAAATTTGAAGTACCATCATAGATAGTTTTAAATTGGTTTAGACACACTTTAAGTATGCTCTAACTAAATGTTCTTTTGCATATTCAATTTTTGTCCCTTGCTTCAGATAAAAGATAAAAAGCCCTAGCACAATATATTCCCACATTGTTCTATTTCTTAATTTTATTTATAAAAGATATTGAATATTCAACTTAGTGAAAGAAAAAAAATCAATTGAAGTTAATGCCTGCTGTGTGTAGAAAATCACATACACAATTAAACCAAGAACTAGAGCAAGGAAGAATAGGAAGTCGTGCAGGGCGTATCAGCCTTAATCCTCTCAATCTTAATCCTCGCCGTTATCCCAGTACTCCACACAGGCAAACAACGAAGCACAGCACACACAATTTTCATTGGTCATTGGACTCATGTAGCTTTTATAGGCAAATAGATGATTAGAATTTCCTTCTACTCTTGAAACCATTTCACTTTTCAAGCCCATCCACTGAGTTCTTTTCATGTTAAATATCAACAGAAAGTGAAATGTAACCTCACTCTTTATTTATTTATGTTTTTAATGATATTTTAGAGAGAGAGGAAGGAAGAGAGAGATAGAAACATCAATGTGAGACAAACCTCGATCGGCTGACCCAGGACACCCCCCACTGGGGATCAAGCCCACAACCCGGGCATGTGCCCTGACCAGGAATCAAACCAGGACCTCTCAGTTCATGGGACGACGCTCAATCCACTGAGCCACACGGCCAGGCAATCTCACTCTTTATTAGAAGCCCCAAAGTCCTTTCTCACATTCAAAATAATGAAATGGATTAGTATCCAAAATGTTTATGAAAGAAAAAGTGTTAATTCCTACCTCCATTATCTTTTAGATGTAGTGCGATCTTGGTATCATCTGAAAGAGAAATTCAAAGTTATTACAACAGAAAAGAAAATTAAAAATGCATAAATCTCATGAGCAGTAATTGTCCACTAATGCCTTAATGATACCATGAATAGATTTTAATACTTGAGGTAGTTAATCTCTAGTTCAATGAGAGCAAGTCCAAGTTTACAAGACATAGGTGAACATTTCTTCGGGAGATCAAGACTTCATTAAGTATTATATGATTCTTAAGATCTGTGAGAAAAGTACACTGCTACAATTGTAACTTAAAATACATTTAAGTTTCAAAAATAAGTTATTGCAATTAGACTTTATAGTATGACCTTCTTTATTCGTTTAAAAAAATAAGATCAAGAAAAGTTGAATAGTAAAGATTTGCTAATATTCACAGATTTAACTTCATAAGTTAAATGCTTATTCATTGCTAATAAACATATCCAACATCACATGGAAAAAATCTAGCCCTTAATGGACAAAATGTAGGTCATACTTTTTTATTTCAGTGAGTGATTTTATTTTAAAGGGTAGAATTGAAATTGCAGGAATATTTTACAGGGTAGGATTCAAATCGCAAAAATATTTTCAGACTATATAGCAACCCAAATTATATGGATTAAAACGTGACATTGGTTTTAAATAGTTAAATAAAATATATTTCACAGTTGTCCTCCACCTTCCTATCACTTTATTCCAGTTAACTTTTAATGTTCAAGGAAATTTCAATGAAAAGCAAAGTTGTCAATTTGAATTCCTTATTGAAATGAAAGCAAGGTTTAATCCAGTAAAAAAGCGAGACCATCATTTTCCCCCTCAAAGCTTACTCTTGGCCAACAGTCACACTTCTCCCCAGTGGGACCATTCAGAATATTAACAAACTTTGGCTAATATGCCTTTTCCCACAATGAGTTGTACCCATGCATTAATGGACTCTATATGTGTCTCTTCCCTGGCTGATAAAATGTTTACTAAGGACAATTTCTGTGACATATATAGTGCCCTTCTATAGGATATGGACCAACAATTGTATTGACTATATTTCGGCAAATATTAGAATTGCATATGAATAGAATTATCTATTGTTCAGAGTCCAAAATCAATGAACATTTTATATAAATCTTGCCTTTCTATTATGTGACTAAAATGTTGAATTTAGTTAATAGAAAGTGTAGCAATATGAAGGGAAGTCTATATTTCTTTTCTAGGGAGGACTAGTAGGTACCATGGAAAGGTACAATACCTTAAAGAATCCCAGAATATATATTTATTCCATAATAACTTTATCTTTTCCCCTTTAGAAATATAATTTGCTATAAACAAAACAAACAAAAACAAAAACAAAACAAAAAAATCTTCCCCTCTGGAGAACTATTCCGGTACATGTCAACACCGTAAGTTTTCTCTCCTTCAGAAAATAACAAAACCATCTCCAGGGCACCTTCTGTGGGCAGGCTGGTGGGCAGCTGGGATGTCGCTGCTCTTCTGGTGGTGGTTAAGACCCTGAATTGTGTGGCCGTCGTCTGCATGGTTGTGGTGGTCTGAGAAGAACTTTCCACGGTCTCTATAGTGTCACACATCTTCTCTTTGGACTAATAAGAGAAACAAATGGGAAAACAATTGAAGAGTAATTATATATTATTTAAAATTACATCAAAGAAGTTGATCTGTAAAGCACAAAAAACTCTCAAGTCAACAGGAGGGACACATTTTTGTACAGGACTATATTTAGAGATTTTGCTAATTTACAAGGTATGTAAAATAGGCCAGAGGATAAATTGGATGAAACCAAGCATTTCCATCTTTGGATATTTGGATCTCGTCATTTTCTGCTGAAAACCTTTCTGTTTAAGATAACATTTCTGTTGCTCTACATTTTATATCAAAATATTTGTAAAAGACATGATGTCAAAAAAGAAAGAATATACAAGAAGAAAAACATGTGCACAGATATAAGGTTTAAAACATGCTTAGGAATGTGAAGAAAGAATGCATTCCCTCCAGGTCAAACTGATGATGACAAATTCTAAAAATCTGGTAACTGCTCCATACTACATTATTGTTTTAAGAATAATTCCCCACAGACTGAATGGTATGTACAATGTTGCTTCCCTTTGTGAAATATGGAGAGCACTGGAAGGGAATGAACAGCACCCATGTAACCACTTAGCCTATCTTTTTCCCAGCAGGGCTATACTGAGGACACCAGGGAAAGGTCATGTCCTATTTTTCACCTATAGCCTATAAAATAAATCCTATAACTGTCGTTTGTAACAATCTTCAACATTCAAACTTTTATGGTTTAGAAGTTGGTGCTTGTCCCTACCTCCTTGAGTAGATGATAACTATTCTGACATGGAAGGTACTCCTCCTACATGTGACTTTATTATTAAATAAATGCTTTTCTTACACTTCTCCTGTCATTATTGAAATGCGGTGCATTTTACTGCTGCTCAGAAAGGGTTCCTGACATGGCTTTCTTTTCACTAACTGGATATGAGACAGGTGTATCCTCTATTTGAACATCCCAGGGACCCATTCAATGACCCGGACTTTAGTTCCTGCATCTTCTCAGCCCCAAAGATCTCATGAATTCCCTCTTGACTCCACTTTAGTTATCATCACTATATCCTGGACATTATCTACAGTTAAAATACTTCACTTCTGATATAATAAGTCCAGTTATTCTATTTTTAGCCTATCCATGCACATGTTACTCAAATTCTTCTTATCTTGTGACTATATAGAAAACCCAAGCACAATTATTCTCTTTCTTTAGGGCTTGTTTGGTTTTCTATCACATCAACTTCTCTTTTCAATCATATCATGCATCTTTACCCTATTCTTCTTTCCACATCACCTTTTCAAAAAATCACCAATACTGAATATAGTTTTGTTTTTTTTAATCTACCCTTTCCCTGTCTGCTCCAAAGCGGGGTACAGCTGGAGAACAACCACAGAGACCCATGGGGAGCTCAGCAAACCTCCCTCCAGTATCTCAGCAGGACCCTCCAGGCTGCTCGGCAACAGTTGCCCACTTTGCTAACCTCTTCTCCCATTTCCCTAGAGATCACTCTCAAACCCTCTTCACTCTACTTAAAAACTCCCATCCCACAATGCCCCCTCCAATTTTATTCCATGGGCTCATCTTTCATTTCCTAAATGAAAGAGCCATCAGCAAAACTTATTATTACTTTTTTTTAGAATTCTTTCATTTTCTTTATAAATCAGCATTCTTCCTTGAATCTAAAGTAACCTATCCTTCTTTCCTTTTGCTGTAATAGGTGGAGTTCATTACTTCCAGCTGTTCTCTCAGTCTCCACTCTGCCCAGCTCAGCCCACCTCCTCAGGTATTGTTCTCAGACTTCCACTTAAACCACTTATGAAAATCTTGCTTTTCCCAGCCCACCGTCACTGAAATTTCTCGTACCAATATTCCTTATTTATTAACCTTCCCTGGTATACCACTGATTTTACTCATTGGCATTTGGCAGATGTCTACTTTCTAAGCTTGGGCTCTGGGACGCACATGCTCATCGATTCTCTGATACCTCTCTAAGGACTCCTCAGTCTCCTTTCATTCTGTCGACCCCTTGGAGTTGGTAGATTTCATGGGTCTTTCCTGACCCATCTTTTCACTGTATGCATTCTCACTACAATCTCCTCCACACCCTTGATTTCAATGAACATATTTATGTTGGTTATTCATAAATCTGTGTCTCTAGTCCACATTTCTCTCTTAGATTTTAGACCCAAATATTTATCTATTGACTTAACAGGTACATGTGGATGTCACAGATATCTCAAACTCATTAAGTCTAAAATTGGACTTGCCACATATTAGTCTCCTCCTGTGTTTTTATTTTCCAAAAAATGAAACAAAAACAAACAAACAAAAAACACTCACACACAAAAAAAAACAGTATTGTCAAAAACCTCGAAGTTTAAGGTAAAATTTTGGACTTGGTTTGCCTGTGGCAGTAAAGATAAAGACTATAAATACAAGTAGACTGCAATACAAATAGATTCTGGATAAAAACATGAATTTGAAAGCATTACAATATTCACAGGAAGTAAAAACAATCTCCAAGGGTGCCTTTCTATTGTCTCTCCTACAAAACAAAACAAAGAAAAAAACGGTGTTCCATACAGACAGTAGGAGCAGTAGAGAGTAAGTACAAATTAGGGCTTGCTTTGAGGGCAAACGTGTCAGAAATCAATGTTGCTCTGAGGAGCTCCAGCTCTGTGCCAGCAGAAGACAGGAGCGGTAAATCTAGACCTCCACTCCTCACACTGAGACAGGGACATGGAGTATCCTCTAAACCTCAGGGTCCCTTCATCAAACCCTCTGGTGGAATGCATCACCTATTTAGGTCCTAGGGATCCCTATGCAGTAAGAGCAAATAATGAATGACTTATGTAGACTACCCAAAACTTTAGATACTGCGATCATCCAATACAAAACATTTAAATATTATATAAAATACTTAAATAAATGAAATCTAAAATTTAAAAATAAACTAATAGTCTATAAAATTACTTGGCAGATTAATAAAGGGTCAAATTAAAATTTTAGAAATAAAATATATTTTTTAATTTAACTATCACAATGAATAGATTAAATAGCAGATTAAACAAAATGAAGGGAGAATTAATATCATAGAGAAATAAGAAGCAAAGAAAATAAGATTGATGATACACAAGAGACACAAAAGACACAAGGAGGTGATGAGAAGGCCAAGCCTCACTCCAAAGAGCTCAGAGGTGAGAAGGAGAATGAAAGAATGGAAAAGATCAGACTGAGCAGTACATTTATCAAGTTTGATATCCAAGTGATTAGAAAACACATTTTTGAGCATATGTAGATCACTGGTTCAAATTGCCCATGTGCTCTTCCATAAAAATGTTCCAACCAATTTTAAAGAATCAGTATTATATAGAACATGATCCCTAACAACAACTTAATTAGGTTAGAAGTCAATAATATGAAGATAAATAAATGTAAATATATATAATTTGTATATGCATTATAATTTATAATTCAATATAATTATAATAAATATATTAATAAGATTGATGGATTACAGACCTTGACAAGTTGATTCTAAAATTTATATGAAGAACAAAAGCCCCCAAATAGTCCAAACACTTATGAAGAAAAAGGACACTTGTCCTATGGATTAGCAAAATTTCTTATAAAACTGTAGTAATGAAGACAGAGTGACGCTAGTCAGGGTATCAACAGGCTGAGCATTAGAAGAGGAGATCCCAGAAACCAAGTCTCTGTCTGTGTGGAAACCACACAAGAAAGAGGTGGCTTTGAAAGAAACTGCCAAAATGAAAAACTATTCAATAAATGTTGCTTGAAATTATCCATAAGAGAGAAGATCCCCACAAAACTAAATTTCTCTGTTATACACAGAAAGCAATTCTAAATGGAATGAAGATTTTAATGTGAAAAACAAAGTTTTAAAACATTTAGTAGAAGCCCATTTGGTGTGGCTCACTGGTAGAGCAACGACCCAAAAACCAAGAGGTTGCCAGTTCGATTCCCAGTCAGGGCACATGCCCAAATTGTGGGCTTGATCCCCAGTGGGGGGTATGCAGGAGGCGGCCAATTGATGTTTTCTCTCTTTGATGTTTCTATCTCTCTCTCCCTCTCTCTTCTTCTCTCTATATAAATCAATTTAAAAAAGAAATAAATAAAACATTTAGTTGAAAATATATAAAAATAACCTTATGATGTTTGGTAAAGAAAGTCTTTTTAAACGATACACATACACACGAAACTAACCATAAAATAACAGATTGATTGATTTGACACATTAAATTGTGAATAAATGGTAACTATATAAAATCTTAGAGAAATTAAAAACATAACCCAAACATGGAAGAGACTATATACAAATGGAGATACTAGCTAGAGCAATAATACAACAAAAATAAAATAATATAAGGAATAGAAAGTAAGGAGGAAAGCTGTTGTCACTTATAGGTGAAATGATCGTGTAAGTAGAGAACCATTAAGTATCATGAGAAATATTTTTTAAATTTGTAAGAGAGTTTTGTAAGGTGGCTATCTATCAGATTTATTATGTCTGTTACCTTTAGTCAATGATGACTTAGTGTTATGAATAAAAAGAAAATATAACTACTCAATAAAATAAATGAGAAAAAGATATGAACAGGCATCCCACAGATGAGAAAAAACAGAAGGGGAAACACAGAAGACAAAATAAGAAAATACAATCAATCTCATTAATGACTGGTGAAATGTAAATTAAGTTGATAACAAGATAGCATTTTATACCCATTAGATTTGCAGAAATAAAGAAATATGGCAAAACTAGGGTTATACAATAACGAGAACGTGAAGGAGTTCCATCCTGTGCTGGTACTGTAAGTTTGCAAATTGGAAGATGTTTGACATTTACTTTCAAAGTTCAACATATACCCAACTGACAGGCAGTAATTCCACTTTAAGGGATGTTAGAGAAACTTCTGCGGATTTGATTCAGGAGGCAATCATACAATCTTTTTGTAATAGAAAAAATATGAAAATAATGTCCATACACAAAAGATTTGAGGGAAGAAAACATGACGGTAAGAATATGGATCTAGCCAATGAACATATATGCGCTGCTCATGGACACGGACAACCGTGTGGTGAGGGCCAGAGGGAGGGGAGTGTAGATTCTGGGTGGAGATAGGCAAAAGGGGGTACAGATGGGGGACATCTGTAATAGTGTCAAAAATAAAAATAAAATAAAAAAAAATAAAATGTTGATATTCTAATGTAACTATATAATAGGGATCTAGGATGGCAGGGCTTGATGGTTTGGTTTTGTTTTCAAGTTGTTTTACTAATGCATTCCAGTACCTCAAAAGTGCCTGGGACGTCAGGGGCACACAGTAAATATCTGGTAAGTAAATGAATAGAATATTCATACCATGGAATATATACTATGAAAATGAATAAACCACCACCACAGGCACCACCATGCATAAGTGTGAAGAAGAGATTCTGAGTGGTAAACTCGAAATTCAGCACACCTGTACCTCTTCAGGGCATCCGCTATCCACCCAGTCCTGGCGATGACGATCAAATCCACTGGAACATCTTCAGAGAAGACCACATTGCAGTTCAGAAAAAGAAGTAAGGGTGCAGAGTGAAGGGCAAACATGAAAAGAAAAAGAATGGTAAGTAGTTAATTCTCACATTTTCAGTTTAGCACATCATACACTTTCTTTTACAGACCTACTGATTGGAGCGGCTATGAAGAATTAACAGTGTTCTGTGTATCAAGTCCCTCCCACGTGGTCATGCGATTAGGGTCCAACATGGTGACAAATGACTCCACCAAGGCCCACTGCACTGTGTGGGACACTGGGATCCCTACCTAAAGGTAAGACCAATTGCTATTCAACGAAGTTGGTTTTCTTCATTTCCTTTCTCATCATCCAAACAAATGGATACAGAAAAATATTTTGCAGGTATCATTTTTCAGGATTTTATATCCTCTTTCTTGTTTTTTTTCAAATGTAAGACCCACAGTCATGCAAACACTACTGTGTTGTAAAGTGTTAACTCAGCACGTCTGTGGTATTCAAACCCACACATTCCAAAGTAAGAATTGGCCCTTGTCTGGCTCCAGATGATAAAGCCCTTGGAATATCCTGCTGGATAAATGCAAGATAGTTTATGTTAACAGTATGATATATGGTGAAGGTCTATTTTGTTCACCTGGAGCCCTGGGCCATGCTGTATCAGTTTGAACTCTGTGGTGGCTGAACACTAGAGATAAGGTTAGTCATGGAGAATTGCATATCTATGTGACTGATCTCCAGTAGAAACCTGAACACCAAGACTTGGATGAGTTCCCTTGGCAGTACATGCTGTGTGTGTTCACACATTGTTGCTGGGGGAATACATGCTGTTGGTATGAGTCCACTGGAAGAGGACAACCAGAAGCTTCTCTCTCCTGGACTCTGCCCTGGGTGCCTTTCACCTTTGCTAATTTTAATCTCTATCCGTTTGCTGTAGTAAGTGGCCACGTTGGATTTCGCAGCTTTCCTGAGTTCTGTGAGTCCTAATGAATCATTCAACCTGTGTGTGCTTTGAGATCCCTAACAACACTATGAATAGGTCATATCTAAAAAGTCTAATTCAGAAAGCACTGGGCTAATAAGATTTTCTTTACTCTTTCTCTCTTCCTTGACTAGAATAGTTTTCTTCCATCTAGCTACAGTCCATTAATTTATTTAAGACACAGAAATTACATCTTACTTTACCTTTAACTTTTCTCCTTCATGTAAAATGTTATGTGCTTATTTACCAAACTTGATTGTGAACATTTTAAACTTATGGCCAGTGTCTTATATGATCATACAGTATGACTGACACACAATTTCATTTTCATATTAGAAATCCAAAGTATTGTTGTCTGTCTATTAAAATTAAAGATTTACATTGCTTCTGAATTTTAATATCTATCTATACATTTACATATAATATACAATAATCCATATAAATAAATGCTAATCTAAAGATATTTACATATTTTAAAAATAAATGAAGGCTGCTGAACTTTGGTCTTTGTTCTTATAGGGCTTTTGTGCGACTATCCTTCCCCACTTGTTTTGCAGTAGGTTCACATGATGACTGCGTCTAAGAATCTTTGCCAGAGATTATGCACTATGGCATGAATGAGCACAATTTAATTCAAGTGGAATGTGAAAACAACTCTACTGTCAACAGAAAAAACACCATATCTATCATTTTGCCCAGACATGATTCATTAGATCTAAGCTATTTTATGCCTACCATCTGTGTTGAATGAGCATAAGTGTGGAATAAACATCAGCGTGTGATCTGGCACGCTAGCTCTGAGAATCCCCAGTTGATCAAGGCCATCTCTGGTTACCCACAGAAAATCTAACATTTAGAGTCTATTGAATTCCAGATGAGTTAGATGGTTATTTCCTCTTGTTCTTTTTGCCTTTCAAGTTTGTTTAAATGTTGAAAAATATACACATTGACATTGTGTTTTGCAAGATGGGGATATATGAATTTCTACAATAAAAGTATTTTGGGGAGTTACCTGACCACAAATAATTAAATGGAATAGATTATTTTTAAAATACAGTTTGTTTTTACATACTGAATTGCAGATGTATTCAAAGCCAGTGGGAAATAACAACTTTTACCTTATATTATAATAAGACAGGTAGTAAAACTTAAATTTATAGGTCAACTAAAATTTTATCTTAAGTAATAAGTCCTTTAAATGGTTAAATCAATCCCAGGACAGCATATAAAAACAATGCATTTTTCTTGATTTATTAAATGGCCCCCCAGTTATATTGTGTGAAATTAGGTTCTATTGATAATATGTGATTAAATTAAGCAATTCATTTATTCGCAATTGATTCTCTGTTAATTGATCTGCAGTTTACTGATTGCTCGGGTAGGAAGGATTGACAATGGCCAACAAAAATAAAATTTAGTTTAAAAGCTCATGCATTCTGTAGCTTACAGTATCTTAAAAATTAACACAACAGGATGCTGCTTTTTTAGCATTTCTTATAAGCTAGTAACCTAAATAATACCCAAAAGCAATTATAAACAAAAGAGTGTGTATGCTATACATTATTAAGAAAGAAACACCTTTAGGTTATTTCTGAATTAAAAATAAATCCAAAATCACTTTTGAGATCAACTTCCTCTCTCCACTGAGTAGCTGTGTTGTTCTTCTAAAACACAGAGACATTTAACCATGTCATGCTCTGGCATATTGATTTCCAGACATTGTTGACACTGTTAACCAAGAGGCTCTTCTACAGTGTAATCATCTCGTATTCCTGTTGAACTGTGTATTCCTGGGTCTAGCTGTCCAAGAAAGAGTCTCTGATAATTTGGGTTTAGCAATTTTCATTGTAAACAATCACCCCGGGTGGTTCTGACCACACTGAAATTTGAAAACCACTAACATCCTATATGGTGTGTCCATATGGCATGCCCCTTCCCACTGCTCCCGCCCATCCCTGCAGCCTGCTCTATGCCCCTTCACACCCCTTCCTGAAGTGCTGTGCTCTTCCATGCCTCTGCCCTTGGATATCCTTGTTTCTGATGAGAAAACCCAAGTGAACTCAAGCCTATCACCTCCAAGAAGCATCTACTTTCTTCTGACCCAGAGGGTTAGCAACCTTTTCTCAGTGTCCTCTGATACAACCCAATGTCCAGTGCTAGTGTTTATTACTACACTACAGTTTATTGTGTTCGGGTTTAACTTAACAAGACTTCGGGAAGATTGTGGTTCAGAGGGAGGTTTTGGAGTCAAACTGCTTGGGATGGAATTTTGGCTTGGGCACAAAACAAGTGTGTAATCTTAGGCAAGTTATTTTTCCTATCTATGCTTGTTTCCTCTTCCGTAAAATGAGGTAGGAGAGGTTATGTAAGGATTGAAGTTAGAGCTTGGTACACAGCAGTATTTAGTAAATGTCAGCTGTTTTTCATACCTAAGTAATGACTTTGTGGTAGGCATGTAGTAAAGTCAACAACTGTTGAAAATGAACCAGTGAGATTTTCATTATATTAACAATATTTTGGAAAATTTTTAGGAATTAATTGTGAAATTCATATTAATGTGAAATGTCCTTTATCATCATATTTGGGAATTAGTATTATAGAATCTTATGAGAGAAAATAAAAGTTTTTCTCAGACATGGAAAAAATCTTGATTCAATATTTATAAATGAGGCAGAGAGTACATGGTTTTGTAAATATTTCTCAAAAATGGATTTAAATATGTTTATTTAATACATATCCTAATTTGAATATGTTACCAATGTTGTATGGAAGAAGTTATTTCCTTCTTCTCATTGTTACCTAATTCCAAAACAAATGGAAAGTGAGCTATACTTCAAACTAACTGTACTATTCTCCCCTCAATTTTAATGGAATATTGATTTCAAAGCCCCCAGGGACCATGATAAAGTGGACCCTATTTTTTAATTTCTTTATTGATTTTTAGACAGAGAGGAAGGGAGAGGGAGAGAGAGATAGAAACATCAATGACAGAGAACATCAACTGGCTGCCTCTTGCATGCCCCACAATGGGGAACAGGCCCACAACCTGGGCATGTGCCTGACCGGGATTGAACTGGTGACCTCTTGGTTCATGGGTCGATGCTCAACCACTGAGCCACACCAGCCAGGCAAGTTAACCCTATTAAATAAGGCAGCCTAGAAAACAAAAAATAGTTTGCTCGCCCAAGAGATTAAAGTATAAATCTCATCAAATCTCTAACTTATCTCAGTTTTGTAGAAAGGGTTTCAGAAATGGCCCTGGCCAGTTTGGCTCAGTGGTTAGAGCATCAGCCTGCGGTCCAGAGTGACCCGGGTTCGGTTCCCACTAAGGGCACATGTCTCGGTTGCAATTTGTCCCCGGCCCTGGTTGGGTTGTGGGGGTGGCAGCCACTTGATGTGTCCCTTTCATTTGTCAATGCTTCTCTCTCTCTCTCTCTCTCTCTCTCTCTCTCTCTCTCTCTCTCTCCCTCCTACTCTATCTGAACAAAAAAATGGAAAAATGTCCTCGGGTGAGGATTAAAAAAAAAAAAAAAAAAGGGGGTTTCAGAAATGACTTATTTTATAAGGGTAATATATTCAAGTAAAGGAAATAGAGTGAATGATATATATACATATGCAATACAGAAGGATTAAAACTGAAGTGTGTCTTACTGAACAATTGAGCCATGTATAATTTCTCCAGTGAGAAGAAACATCTACAAAAGAGAAGTTAGGAAGGAAACTTCACTGAATCTTAAGTCCTGGTTGGCAGTTAGGTTCTAGATCAGGAACCAGAAAATATTCTGCAAAGGACCAGATTAAGTATTTCAGGCTTTGCACTCTGCATAGTTTCTGTCCTAAATAGTTACTTCTGCTATTGTGCTCAAAAGCAGCCACAAACAAAAGCAGAAGGAAATGGGTGTGCTTATATTTACAAAAAACAGGAAGTGGATCAAATTTGTGCCATTTGCTATGGTTTGCTGAACTCCTTTGTAGATTATCTAAAAAGACGGATCTATAAAATTCTGAAAATTTTTGGAAAAATACCTCAT